TCTGGATGGCAGGTGCAGATATCATGGGGTTCTGTAGTGCTTGGAACAAAATAGGACAATCCTGCCTGTGGTCTGTGTTGGGCAACCAAAACCCTCACAACTTGTGTGGGCGCTCTCACTTACTCGCTGGTAACATCTGAGTGCCCCACATGCCAAACATCCATCCATCATCTTTACCCGCTTCTTCCTTTTTGGGTTGTGGGGGTCACTGGTGCCCATATCCAGCCATCACTGTGCGAGAGTTGGGGTACACCCTGGACGGGTCTCCAGTCCATCACAGGGACACATAGAGACAAATGAGACAAACAATCATTCACTTTCTCACTCACACCTAGTAACAATTTAGAGTTACCAATCAGTCTAACATGCATGTTTTTGGTCTGTGGGAGGAAACTGGAGTACCACCAGGCTTCATACAAACTTGCAACATGACCCTTATCAAACTCCATTAAGTGCTGGTAATTTGTCTAATGCGAGGCGTCCTCTGTGTCTGCTGACTTTTACTCAGTGTTTTAACTGACCGTTACATGCTCTGGTAACTGCCTGATAACACTATCACTCCACCTGTGATACCACCACCCTCTGATGCTCATTCTAGTCCTTCAGCTTCTTGCAAATCAAATGATCACAAACCCTTGCTAATAGCTGAGACTCATCTCTTAACACATTCTCCAAGCACTAAACATCTGGCAAAAGCTTTGCCCAAAAATATTTTATTTTAATTGTTGATGTCAACCTTGTGTGTCTGTTAGCAAAACATCTCATGAACCACTGGACCGAACTGAAGGAAACTTTCAGAAATAATCACTGAATGTACATCTTAAATTTAGTAAATATGGAGCCACCTCTAATCAAGATGGCCTTTGCAACTAATCAGAATTACAATAAAGGCTTATAACTCAGTCAGTTGTTCAGATATTGAGCTAAAAATTTTGATGCGGCAGTAGCTGAAAGCTGTGCTCAACACAAACTTTGAGTAATAACACAGCTCATGAAATGTGACTGTGGCAGCCATCTTACATTAAAACAGTCGTGAAAGGAGGCAAGCGATGTGCTTTCCTTTTATTTTTCTTTTGTTTAATCTGTATCTAATCTAAAAGCCCATCTGAGGACATGAATTACACATTAGCTTAAAGGCTATTAAGGTTATTGAGTACATATTTATTAATACTTAAGACTTGTTCCTTGATAAACATTTTAAATTAAATTATATTTAGTACAGTCTTTTAAAAGATAGGCAATATTTGGAAATCTAACTTATTATCTAACAAATACCCACTGATTTAATGCTCTGCTCGATATATAATTTATAAAATACATTTTGGTATAATTTAAAAGAAACAATTTATGTGTATTAGTATTAGCTGGTTTCTTGTTCTGTAATTTAAAAAAAGTTCTACTCTCATGCAAAATATAATGAAACAGCAACATTTTTTAGTTTTTGGTATACAACATTTACACATCTTTCTCCTGGTCTCAGTTGTGCTACATAAATCTAAAAAAGTTAAGTCTGGGCCTCTGGACGTTCATAAAACAAAACAAAGCAAAAAAAAAAAAAGTAGAAACGTTTCGTCTTTCATCCAAAAAACTTCAATCTGAGGTGCTGTATTCAGCTCAGTCTTATAAATAGCACCTTTTCATAGTGGATTTGTTTTGCTTTGTTTTGTTTTTTGAATGTCCAGAGGACCTGACTCAATTTTTTTAGATTTTTCTGCCTGGATTATTGAGCATGCATCAGGATATGTACTACATAAACTTTATTTGCACTTGCTTAGTCGTGCAGGATAAAAGTGAGCTGCAGCTGTGTGATGAGGGTCAGCACTTTGCTCCACTCATTTTCCTTCAGTGACAGCTGACTGATGAGTCACTCAGTGGACAGTCACTGTTGCTCTCGTCTTTTCAGAGTCGAGGAAGTCAACTGGGACAAATGGAACACCAACCTGTCCAAAATCAATGAGGACCCGGGCTGTTGCGACGGGATCCTGCAGCTTGATTCAGACACCTCTCCCACAAGAAAAAACAGAGGTACAGAAACATCCATCAGGACATTTCTGTGAAGACAGAGTGATGTTGTGTGATTTGTAATTTTCCACTTTTATCCACAGGGAGGAGCCTGAGAGTCCTTTTCAAGGGCAGCAGTGGGTTGAGGGAATCGCCTGAGTCCACAGAGATGAGGCCCCTGTATTATGCCTAAGAGTTTCACCATGGCTGCTCAGCTGGGGGATGATCAACAAGATGATCAATATATTATCAAAGTGGTCTGTTGAACAAACAAATGGACAATTTTTCCAGCTAGGGTCTCTGCTTTTATGTAAATTCATCCAAAAAGGAAACAAATCCAGTGATCTGAGCAGCAATGAGAACAAACTGTTGTTTTTTTTGTGCATCTGATTGATATAACAGAATTAAACAGATTTAATGAATGCTGTAACAAGTGAAACAATGGGCTTCAGATGAAGTCCTTTAATCCAAACGGGTGGTTTCTGCATGCGAGCTGCACGTCCTCTGCAGAAGCGGCTGCACTTCTGGCATCATGGCTTAAACTCTGTGATGGAGCAATAGTGAACACAAAAGGTGCTGATCCTGCTCTCCTGCTGCGTGCCCTTTATCCAAATCTCATTTTCATCACAGCCAGATGAGCTAAAGCTACTGCAGCCGCAAAGTCCTGCAGATTTCACAGCTTGCATCGTCTGCTCTGCTTCCTCTCGCCATGAGGTGGAGGCAGGCCTGGATGAAGGGCACGACAGAAGAGCAATCGGAGAAACAACCGCCGGCTGACACAGCTACTGATTACGTGTGGGTCAGGTGGGCCTTTTGACCTGTTGCTTTGCCACCTAAACTTTTGTGCTTCGTTTTGTTTGAACAAAGATTTCTGAGGCGTTTCAAAGCATAAATTAGAACTTTATTTTATTATTACAATATTACAAAAAGAGTAGCACAACTCTCGCGCTCTTGCCTCTTATCTGTCGTACAGAATGACACCAAAAGAACGGTTCGTGAACCGTCTTCCTTTTTCACAGCAACGGTACAAGAAACAAAGAGGAAAATAAAATTTAAATAACGAGCAAATCAAGTATCATAAATAGTCACAACTGCAAACTGAAGCTTTGAAACTGGGAAACAAAAAACAAAGAGTTACAGCTCAGTAACTACACATTGCTAAAAATATATAATTACAAATTATTACTCTTCTTTCTTGTTCACTCCAGAAGAAATCTCTAAGGAATTCCTCTCCGTGAATCAAAACTTAATTAAAAAAAAAAAAAAGACAAAAAAATAAAATAAAATCAGGAATTGCTGTTTGTGTATATCCTTAGCATCTCGTTTCATTATTTGGGTTTTTCTTTATTGAACCATGCTCATTGTCACAGGAAAGTCCAAGGACCAAACACTTAAGGCTTTTTAAGGGGTGTTAGGGAGTTTGGTGAACAAAACATCGGTGTCATTGTGTTATACACACACACACAAACACACACACGCTCGTTTTTTCCTGTGCCCATATCGGTGGGCTACGTTCACGCACAATCATTAAAAGTTACAGTAGTCTAGTAGGTAAGCCAGTGTACAAGAAAATAAACAATGCATTTGCTGTTTCACTTTAAACTGAGACCTCCAGGTGATCTTGCAAGTGATCAATTTGGTCTTTTTCAAGCAGACTTCACTTCAGAATCATCATCATCATCATCAACTACTACACTCAGCATTAACACTCTGGCTTGGCTTTAGATTCTACCCCACCTTACTAAACACGCATTCCTTCGTTCTCAAAGAAAACCAATCTCTTCCAATACCTGCGAAACCACAAAATTAACAATTCTCAACATTCAAGTAAAGTTTGTGTTTGACACAAGAACGAGCCAAAAAGGACACAGAGATCATGGCACAACTTCCTCCTGAAGTATATAGTTAATCTGTCTAAAGCAGTGGTTCCCAACCCAGGTCCCTGAGGAACACAATCCTGCACGTTTTAGTTGTTTCCCTGCTCTAACACACCTGATTCAGTGATTTAATTACTTCATGTTCTGCAGAAGCCTGTTAATCACCCATTCATTTAAATCAGCTGTGTCAAAGCAGGGAAACAACTAAAACATGCAGGACAGTGTTCCTCAGGGATCAGGGTTAGAAACCGTTGATTTAAAGGAAGGAGAGTCAACCTATATTATTTTCTGTCCTTGGCATTTCACAATCCTGTTACCAGTTGTAACAATGGCAAAAATGATTATTATTAACCTGAATTCATTGCAGCATTAAAAGCAGAACAGACTTTTTGGACACAAATGCCCCCCCCCCCCCCCCCACCCCATTGCTATTTTACAATATACAAACAACCTGATTACATGCTTCATGAACAAACTGAGTGGAATGAATCTTCCATAGTCCTATTATATAAACGTAGGATAAATTAGAATAAAACTTCAGTTTACATGTGCATACTGTATGCTTCTATAGCCCCTGTCTGATGGCAACAGTGATTGTATTTGATCCAAGCATTCCCGTCATAACGAAGTCCATTTAAACTAGTTGGTGCCCAAAATTCCTTATATGATCCAGTGAAATTAAATAATAAAAGCTCCATCATCAGCAGATGCAGCCATTTTTCTGGGAGGAATACGTTTTCCCTCTTTTTTTTTTTTTACATGCAAAACGAACTTTACTTACAGATCTAAAGTAAAAATAACAGGATCTGTTGATCCAGGCACAGAAATAGAAAGAATGACCAAGGAAGAAGCAGGGATCAGTACAGACGTATACGCGCGCGCGTGCTTTCAGTTGAAAAAGTCACCTATAGAGACAAGTAAAAGCACTCATACGCAAAACCAAGAACAGTAATTGATCACTTGCAAGATAAAACAAACAAACATAAAAGAAACTACTGTTCTGCATTAAATATATTATTTTACCCTCTTTAATACTTGATGTCCTTTAGGTAATCCATTGAGTTTCCTTTCTTAAGACTAAACAAAGGGCGATGATAACAGTTGTGGAGACAAGGCCATAGCTTATCTGTACCCTGGGTGCTGGATGAGAGCGGTTCTGCCATCTCCAGCCTCTGGACCTACCCTGCTCAGAGGAGGCCTGTGCATCTTAGCCATCAACCCGAGATTCTGATCACGGAAGTAGGGCGTCTGGAAGTCCCCACCCATGTAATCCGCCGTTTGCATCAGATTAGTTTGGCCACAAGAGGACATGGAGGAGCTTGTTCCGAGCCTGTAATGGGGAGCTCCGGGGAGCCCACAGTCCTGTGTGGTACAGCCTCCTTGGCCCGCCCCGTGGAATGACATGGCTACGTCCTGAGACCCGGAGCTGTCACTGTTGGGTGTGGGTAGGATGCTGCTGCTCCAAATGTGGGACTGAAAGTAGTGACTGTTAGTGTAGTGGGCCATGGGACCAGGCATGGTGTTGTTGACAGGAGGGGAGGGGGTGGGCCTCTCTACGGGAGGCTTCAGTGAGTACGACTGACCCACACACACCTCTGCAGGGTAGCCCATGCCTTTAAAACTGAAGGATGGGTCTCTGCAAGGCTGCTTGCAGAGATGCATCCCACCATTCTGAAGGTGGGGAGCATGTACCAACTGATGGTGACTCCAGGAGCGCATCTTCTGGTGCTGAAGCGTGCTCTGTTGAAGCTGTTGCTGCTGATTCTGTTGTGAGTGAAGATGCTGCTGCAGGTGTTGCTGCTGTTGCTTCGGATCTGTGTGGTTAGAAGGCAAGTGGTTCACAGCAGTTGTACTGAGTGGGGGGTGGGCTCCCATTGGGGCTGTGGCTTTTTCTTGTGGGCCGATAATGCAGTTGTGTGGCAGGAATCCAGGAGTGGCAGGGTTACTGTGCATGGACACCCTGGAGCATGCGCTGATAAGCAGGTTGCGGCTTATGGGGCTGGGGTTGGCGATCTGGCCCTCACACATGGAGGTGGCCCCTGTGCCTTGGACCCGAGCTTGGCAGAACTGGTTGAGCTGATGCACGATTGTGCTCAGGTCAGGCTGCTGGCCCTGGTGTAGCCCAGCAGCCATGGAGAGTGGAATGGTTGAGGTAGAGACGGTAACGTTGGGTGGAGCTTCGCCATCAGGCAGCTTGCTGCCCCCCTGCAGGCCGAGCGGCTGCTGCTGAAGGTGCTGTTGCTGCTGAAGCAGGACAGTGGGTGGTCCCTGCGGGTGGTTTAGACCTGGGTGCTGAGACAAAGTCTGGAGTCTGGGTAGGCCCTGAGGGTGCTGGGCAAAAGGGGGCGGGTGTCTGAGACTCTGCTGCTGAGGGAGGTGTATATGTAAAGTCTGAGGCAGGTCCTGTGGTGGAAGGGGTACGCTCTTTTGGTGGTGGTTTAAAGTGCTAGTTGAAGTCACTTGGTAGAGTCCAGTAGGAGGGTTCATAATGACTTCAGAGTGCAAGCGAGCCCGGCTACCATCAAAATCCTTTATGATACTTTTGACCGTGGGCACCTTGACGATGGCGAGGAGTCCTGTCTTGGCACTGGCCTGAGAGGGGGGGTAAGGGCTGTAGCGCTGGCCTGACGTATCCAGGCCGTTGACCGTTCTGCGCACGTGGTTTCTCTGGGGGACCTTGACGCTGTTGGGAAAGATCTTGATGGTGAGGGGGTTGTTGGCAACCTTCTTAGCATATGCGTCCAATTCTGCAGGGGTTGGAAACGGAGCAGATCTCATCCTTTGTATGGTGTCCCCTGGGGCAGAGACAGGACAGATTGAGAGAGTTTGGTAAGGTGAGGAGAGGAAAGAAAGAAAGAGAGGCACAATGAAAGAGAAATTAATTCAGTCAGGAGTTCACGTGGTACAAAAGAACACATCAATTGAAACGGAGCAGCTTAGTGAAAGTTGATTCAAAAAGAGCCCCCATATACAGTCACTAGCTTTCCTTCAAAAGCAATTTTCATCTCCCATGGACCCAATGTAGACAAGGAAGATATTTAATTTTGCATTTACAGCAGCGGTATTGGAGCTGACACGATCCCAGTCCAAAAGAAAATCCAGTTAAGTGCAATTGTTGGTGGCTTTTTGGTCAAAAGCTTCTACTGGCCTTAATTGACGCATACAGGCCAAGAATAAGTGCTGAGGGTAGACTGCAACATTGCAAGTGAATCACAAGCTAAACAAAGAATAAGAGAGGCAGTAATGGTCCCCCGTGGCTGCCATGGGGAAAAATAAAAAGAGAAAGAGAAAGAGGCAGCGAGGCAGAGCTCCATGACAGCAGACAAGTAATCAGACACAGAAAGCAGCGTCTCTGATCTGCAGGAACACCTCCCAGGACTCAGACATTTGTTACACCTGCTAAAGCACTGCGGCTAAATTTAACAGCGCTGAAGTGACAGCGTGAACACGACTACCTGTTTGTGCGTGTGTGAAGGCTGTGTTTTATTTATGGGAAAATGTTTGCGTTTTTTTTTTTTTTTTTAAGTGCAACAAAAATCACGAGAGAGTTGGCTCATGTGTCACAATGTTCCACTTCAAGTGTCAGATTTGTCTTTTGTGTTTTTGTTCTGAAATCAAGCAGACTTTATTGCGTGCCACATTGTAATGCAGTGCAGTTTTACAATAAAAGAGCAATCAGTTAAAACAACTGGCTCGACTCCGTCTTGTTCACCTCAGTTAAACCAGAGATTTTTGAACTGAAGGAAACGCTAAAAGGACGACCTCAGGGGGATAAACTTCAGGTAAAACATGTCCTTGTTCTGCTGTTGAATGGAGACAAAATTTAAAACAACATGAATCAGTCTTGTGGTGGCCGATCATCTGTGTCACAGCAGTCAGAGTGGGTCCTCAGAGGTGAACAGAGGGGAGTTGTGCCAAGTGGCTAATTAATTCCTGCTTTATTTGTGAACAAGAAACAATGGACAGTGATGTGCAGGGGCTGGTATGGGAAGGCACACGGGGAGCTGAGGCAACAAAGTGTTCAGGCAGTGATGGCAGCCTCATTAATGCAGGGGTCTGGGCCAAGGAGATGGAGCTTGACACCCACCATCAGTGAGGGCCCAATGTCTGTCGCTGAATAAATGCCAGGCTAAGAAAACACAGAATAATGAACACACACACGCACGCACGCGCACGCACGCGCGCGCGCACACACACACACACACACACACACACACACACACACACACACACAC